TATATATATATATATATATATATATACCTTCAGCCATTCACTTTTACTGTTCTTAATATTTTCTTTTACATTACTTGAGTCTCTGTTTTGCACTTGTTTCTTCAACTATGGAGAATTAAATATGGATATTTGGCTGATTTGTAATATATGTTCCTTTTGGTCTTTTGGTTTATTGTATCTGCAGCTATCAATAGAGCACATATTTGTCGGAACAAACAATTAAGCAGTTATTTACTAGTTAATCTTGCACATTCAAGCATCAATCATCAGCACAATAAAAACACTCCCAAACATCTCCCAAACAATCCTCGAAAATGTGTCCAGGCTGCGATCCATTTTATCTGCAAATATAGACAGACATTTCAAAAAAGACTAATCTTGTTAAACCAAGTGTGAGCAAATGAACCAGCAAAGCCGAAGAGTAACAGCAATGCTATTTACACACAACAGGTTGATATATTTACCCAACCTAAACGCAGCCTTTACGACCCCAAGAACACAATCCACTAGCTTTGTCAAGTGCACCTGCATCTTAATCTGCCAGGTCAGTCCGAATGCCCGAAAGTCACTTTCTCAGTCTCAATACTTTGGTTTTGGGTAAGGCTTTCGAGAGGGACAACAGGGACATAATAGTCTAAAATCTATTGCGAAAAGGAAATGCATACAACCATTCAACAACTACCAGCTGCAAAGAACCATCTTCATGGTCAATCAGACAGATCAGCCTTTCCTGAACATAAAAATATATATCGATAAAGAGGCTGTACTGAAAACTGCTTCATCTGTCACCTACATTCTTTCATATCTTTCTGGATTGCAGTAGTGTTTCTTCAGTGGTTCCCTCTGAGAATCGAGACGCACCACGGATTAATCAAAGCAGTGTAAATCTGAGGGGTCGCGACACAAATAGCAAATAAACAGAAGAAGAATTCAGCTAGACAAACTTTAGCTTTATCTTCAGGCCTAAGCTGAAATAGTGTGAGAAGTGAACATCACTCCAGTTCAGATGCTCAAAAATTATGGACATGATCATAATGGGTTATTAGTGAGCATTGCATGGCTTTAAATAGCCACAAGCATTTTATATCAGGGTAAGACTAAAGCTGAATGTAGGAAGTTCATTAGAATTAGTAGCAGAAACGCTCAAATTACACTGTTCTTCTGCTTTCCATCCAAAACAGTGAGCTACTTAATAGCTGAAAACCAATATAACATCAATAATCACTTCTCCAGCCAGGTTTATTACAGACTGCTGTGTAATCAAATAGCTGGCTGACTGTGGTAAAGGAACATACCGAAAATCTATAAAACTCCCCATTTTTGTTGTATATGCATCGTGACAGTCAGTGGCAAAAACCAGATGGGCTGGTTGTAATCTATTCTCTGATTGGATTTATGTCCTGAAGAAAATCCCCCACATCAACTGATGTGCACATATTTTAAAATCCAGTTCTGGTGTATTTTGCTCCTCTTGTCACTTCATGTGCTCGCAGGCATGTGTAAAAAGACGTCATTGTCTTGAAATGACAGTGGCTTGCCTCATTATTGGATTTGACAGAAAGCAAGGACATTTTAAGCCTTATTCACAGGACTACCATCACATATGGCCTTCATGTAACCAGAGAATTGCTATGTTATCATTTTCAGAAGACCTATGTCTTCAGCAAAATGTGGATATATATAGTGAATTTTTAAAGCCAGAAGTGACCATATTTGGACAAATAGGACTTCAGTCAAACACCAATTCAAACCTTAATTTGAAAATGGTAGAGAAAAAATGCTGACATCAGTAGGAGTTGGGCTTACACTTTAACTCACAAGTCATAGTCACCCAATTTAACCCTTTCCTCCTCCCTTTCTTTGTCAAGTTTCCCTTAAAGTGGCTGGAGCTCTTTGTCCGAGCATCCGCATATCCAAACAGATGTGCCTGAGGGCATATCACACTTTACATTCTTTACATGATGGAGGACGCTCCAGTCAACCAAGAACGTAAGCATTGACACATATAGGAACCAACCCATTCGCACGCACACAAAGACAGAAACACTTATGTCTACAACCAAGGACTAAAGCACAGGATGACATGCACTTACACACTGTACTCAAGAGACTCATATCAGCACTAGTACAATTACATCTGAGTAGCCATTACTTCGAATGAAAATGTCGAAACAGACTCGTCACTCAGTAGGACATGCATGGCTATTTCTGGCCACTAAGTGGACTCAGCAACTTCTTTGGGGTCACAGAGAGTTACAGGGGCTTTTTTCAGGAAAAGAGAGCAGCGTTCAGCAAAGACAGACATGAGCCCTAATCAGCCCTGACATGGAGTCCATCAGAACTTACTGAGAGGTTTGAGGATGCTGTTGCTGGCCTCATCGTTGTTTTCTGTGTCGGACTTGTCAGAGGTGTTCTCCATCAACCTCTCCTTTCTGTCCTTGTGGCCAGCTCTCCGGCGGTGACGCCTCCGACGCCGATAGCTCTTGGGCACGTGCACGCCGATGTAGATGGTGTGGTGACCTGCAGACAGCAGAACAGGAGATGAACTCTCTGACACTAAACATCCTGACAAATTCAGACTGCTACAATGCAAGTGATGCGCCTGAACAGGTGACTTCCTGAGAAATGATGACATGCAATCACAACCCCTATCAGTAAGTGCAAAATTAGATGCATCAACATTTAGAAAATCATGACGTGAGCACTGATTAAAAGAGTAAAATACAACATCACCCTGACCTAATCTTGACCACTTCTCAATTCAGTTACACAGGGAACATTCTCACACTCTCAAGACAGTGTAGCAGAGCAGGGTTATAGAGGTTGCAGTACACTGTCAAAACAAATATTTGGTCAGAAGAAGAAGTAGGATGTAGCATTGAAGACGCCATAACTGCTTGCATGTCTACATCCCTGCTACATATGTTGGCACAACACCAATAGGACGTGCAGTTTCACATGTAGTTTAGTGCTTTTGAGTCATTAATACAAAGCAGATTGGACTGTTTGCTGATAATGTGCCACTCAGATGGACAAGGATGCCAACATGCTTACATCTGTTTATGGTCATTTGGCTAAGGTAAGGTATCTGGTTCTGGGCATTTATTCTCAGACTTAATTTATTACTAGTGTAGGTAGGGAATTTAATCCACGCATGCCCAGGTAATACATTGTGTTAGTCTGTTTATACAAAGCTTTGAACCCCACTGCAAACATGCTTTTTGTTTCAATAATACCAAAGACCTGGAGCTCCACTGGAACTCGCTGACTTCATTTAATTTCTTGAAGACATTTCACCTCTCATCCAAGAGGCTTCTTCAGTTCAAACTGGCGGGTGGGGAGTTGCAGGCTTTGAACCAGTCAGTTAGAACTGAGGAAGCTTCTTGGATGAGAGGTGAAACGTCTTCAAAAAACTCAAGCAAGTCGACATAGCACTTAGGAGTACCATGACCTGGATGACTGAGAATCTTTACCAACATGCTGAGCAATGCAATCCATCATTAATCATTGACTTCACCTTGACCAAAGCTGCTGTTTTCAACCAAAGGGGAATTGAATTGTGTTGCATGACACTGAGAGGTTTTTCTATTATTTTCTTTGCCTACATTGATAAACAGGTTGGACAGAATATTAGAAACACCTCTCAATATGATGCAATTTGATTTAAAGGTCAGTTCACACCAAAATCAAAATATTTTTCCACCTAACTGTAGTGCTATTTATCAGTCTACCATGCAGAAGAAAGTGTGCATCTACTGCTAGCTCACCTAGCACCACTGAGCAAGCTAACGTTACAGCTTAGCCGAGGGGGACGCCATTAATGTTTACACAAGTCTCTCATCCATGAGTAGATGCCTGCTTCCTTCGGCATGGTGATACGGTTGGTGTGTGTAGTTTGGTAGAAAGAAAATAGATTATCTTGAGTAACCAGGTCACTGATTTCTTTTTCAAATGTATTTATTTGGCAGTTCCATTACATTGGAGAGAAGGCAGAGCTCTCTACGGCCGTTATCTCCAACCCTCAGCAACTCACACCAAAACAAGCAAGACTGATAAATAGCACTATAGATAAGAGAAATACATGTATTTTTGGGTGAACTGTGCCTTTAACAAATATCTACAATCTTTACCAGTGTAAATTTGGCCCAAGCTTCCAACACCATCAGAAAGTACTAATCTCAGAGCTGGGACTTCTTTGGCATCAGGAACCATCACTGAGGTACTTAATTTAGACCCTGGACGGGTCCTCCTGTCAAAACACTGGTAAGGCTCAGGAGTTCCACAAACAGTTCCTAGATCCCTAGGTGGTAAAAACAGATTACTGGACTGCATTCGTTCTTGTAAGGTGTAACTAAGAGACTACTAAGAGTACAGACTATAAGTGAGTATTTGATTTTTATTAGAAGGATGATTTTGGGTGGAGTATTGCTTCAATGCTAGTTTTCTATACATACAGTATTGAATGTGCTCATGGCTACTGTGGTCAGTACTTTGTGAGCTGACTGTTTGCTCTTCAGTGCCAGGGTTTTGTTTAAGTCATGTTATACTGCATTTCAAGTAAATAATAATTTTTCATCTTGTGCCCAACACCTGTGTACTTCTCTTTTAACTGTCCAGTTCCCTCAGAAGTTCAATTGAAACCCACAACCCTGACCACGTTTCTATTACCACAAGTTTTTCCTTCCTACTCAGAGGAAGGCTATAAAAAGCAACCTTTCAGGTTAAACATCAAAAGTCCTCCTAAAACAAAAGGCTCTATGGGATCAGTGTCAAACGTCGCCTTTTGGAGCATGTCGGGTAACGCTGAGCCAAGCACTGCACATGACCCAACCAGGAAGTGGCTGAACCCCTCAACACAACAAACAATGATCTCTCTTAAGCACAACAGCGTTCATTATGCACTGGTACCACAATGCCTTGTGTTTTTTTTTTTTTAGGGGTTCATCTAAATTCACTGACACCGACAGTTCGGCATACCAAGCTAGTGCTGAGCATTAGAGACGAGGGAGATGAGGTTTGAACTACCTTACCTAAAACATGAAGAGCTACTGTAAATCAGAGAGAATATTTTACTTTAATGCTTCTCTGTTTATGGTCATTTTTTTTGTAGTTTTCAGGAGTTTTTAGTGAGACTGACCCAATACGCAGATATAAGCCAGTTGTTAAATACTGGATATCAGACATCAGCCTGTAGTTTGCTTGTATCATTGCTGTTGATGTGATCAAACTTTCTCCCAAAACACGAAATTTGCTTAGATACATATAAACAACTAATGGCGGTAATTTTACAATTTCTTCAGTCCGTCTGCCTGTCTTGCTAACTCTCCCCTCTCACATGACACAGAATGAATGAATGAAAGTCAGACAGAGACGGAGGAACTCTCCAGAAGAAAACAGACAAACAGTTGGAGACAGACCCGCATCACCCACACCACAGCTGCTGCCCACTAGGCTTTTGTTTCAACAAAGACAGTACCGGTCCCATGTTTATGGGATAACATAAAAACATTAGATCAATCATCAGCTGCTGAAACCCTGATGGCACTGGCGGCAAAGAAGAAAAAAAATGGACAGAATTCAACTACTCTAGGAAACAAGAGTAGACTGCAAAAAGTTCAGCCCAGAAGACAACAGATGAAACAATAAAAACAAATGGCATGGCACTTGTGTAACATGCAGACTGTGTTTAATCTTTCATACCAGATGTTCAAATGGTTGCATCGGTTTGAGGTTTTGCGAACTGATACTGACAGTTTTGTACTAAAACTGTAGATTTTGCACCGTATTCTGTGCCTGTTTTTAGCATACCTAATTTTGTCCATTTTATGGCACATTACAATTTCAAACTAAAGTTTGCTGATAGTGTTTTTTAAAAAGGTTGATGTAATAATGAGAAGGAAAAGGGGACAGCTGAGTAATCGGCCGTTATCGCTTCCAAACTGATTAATCATACAGATATTTTTGAAAACGTGTATTTTCCTCTTTCTTAAAATGCCTTCTAAGGTGGGGATTTTTCAAAACTCCGTAACTTTGTGGACATGTAAAATTCCGGTTTGGGAAACAATGATGTAATCTCCGCAATTCACACATGTCCATTGTTGCTTTGTGTGATGAGCAGGGGCCAGAAATAATAACAAAAACGGCAGACTACAAGTGTGTTTACGTTTTGTTCGCACCTCATGGTCCCATGACTACTCTACACTTGTAACTTTGACTGAGCTCCTTCACCCTTATATTGAAGGGAAATCAACTGTGATGAGAGCTCAAGTAAGTGTTTTGAAAAAAGGTAACGTTAGCCTGTGCATTTTGCTATAGAGCTGGGCAATAATACAATAATGACAATTATCTCAATATAATCATTCTCAATAATAATATAACAAATGTTCAATAAATCTTCTATATAGATAAAACACCCACAGGCTCATCGAGGGGGATGGTAATGCACCTTAAACACTAGTTGCCTCATCACCCGCCATTAGCCAGAAGAAGAAGAAGATAAAGATGAAGATGTAGTAGTAGTAGTAGAAGACAAAGAAGAAGACAGCCCAGACACTAAGCTAAATAGCATGGTAATGATATGACATTATAACAATACTCAACAGGCTCATAAATTTATTTTTAGTATGACTGTTTTGACCATGGATAACAGCGCTGAGCTACCTCACAATTATTTCATCACATAACGTTAGTCATAGTCACTGTATAGTTGACTCATCTAATGCTAATAGCAAGTTATCAGGTTAACGTGACTAACAAACCAGCTATTATTACCTCCGCCAAGGAGGTTATGTTTTCGCCGGCGTTGGTCTGTTTGTCTGCAAAATAACTCGAAAAGTTCTGGACGGATTTTGATGAAATTTTCAGGAAGGGTTGATAATGGGACAAGGAACAGATGATAACATTTTTGGTGGTGATCGGTTGAAGTGAAGTGGATGAAATAATAAAATGGCGGGAAATCCGAGCTGCTTGGCAGAGGTCTGCGCTCTCAGAATGCTCTAGTACTAGAATGAAATGACAAAATGTGATTAAAGGCAACATGAATAAAACCATAATCCTCGTCTGTGAATGTGATTTCTGTCACATAAATGATCCCATGCTACTTCACGACATCATCAAAGTCCATCTTTTATTAATGTTCTGAAAGACAAATGGCAGAAATTACATTCTGCGGGTTTAAAGCTCGTATAGAAAGTACTGCCCACAGTTGAGATTTTTCTTTTGTCTATTTCTTTTCTATATATATTGTCAGCGAAAACACTTACAAAATGTTTTACAATGTCTGTATAAAGAGTTTGACATATTGCTGACCAGACTTCTGTCTATTTATTAATTAACTGACATAAATATGATTAGAATTGTTTTGAATCCACCTAAGATGTGTGAAATGTTCTGCTGTTTGGCAAATGTTTACATGTTCTGACAATAAAGAATAGTTTAAACTACAATAAATCGTATGGGTTCTTCAATTTTCATTTAGGAACAAAACTCAGCCTTAAAAGAAATAATGATTTAACATTTACCCTATAACATACATACATATATACATATATAATATACATACCCATAATTATTGATATCGACTGATACGAAAACGTTTATCATGACAACATTTTTAGCCACATCGCCCAGCCCTACTTTACTACCTTTGCGACAAGGGGAGACTGTGGAATTTAGCTGACGCTTGCAAGCTTTTGGAGTCGTCTTTGCATTCTAGCGAGGAGATATTTTGTAAAATTAAGGTCATGTAGACAGATTTTTTTTTTTTTTTAAACAGAGGGTAAAAATTTGTCTTTAACAGTATACATGTAAACAGAGCCTAAAACGCACAAAAACACACCAGAAATGATTAAACAAATTGCTAAAGACATGCTCGGCAGCTCGTTAAAGCAGAATGACCAACCTCCCCTATTCATTACATACTATTCAATCAATCAATTCTTTACTTGTCATTGTCATAATAACACAGTTAAGAATAACAATGAGATATCATTATGAGCAACTTAATACTGACATAGAAGTATGATACTGACATAGAAGTATACACTACACTACAATTTCGAAGGTCTTGTACACCAACGGAGATGTTTTCACTTGTTTAAACAGATTACATCAACGCTCAGGCTAAAGTAGGCCAAAGCTATGTATTGCACCACCATTCACAATTCTAAGAAATACAAACTCATGGAGTAAAAACAGCTTTACATAAATGCCCAGAATTATTTGTGTAAACTTTCACCTTTATAGTGCTTCATTTATAACATTAGTCGACCAAAGAGGCAATCAGACTTGCCATACTGCAAGACCCAGAAGCAGATGGCTGGACAGTGACAATAAAAAAGAACAGAGACACAGCCACACAAAAAGAAATAAAGACGACCATGCTGATAGATGAGCAATAAAGCAAAGCGTGAAGACGTTTGCATAAGCTGAACGACAACGAGAAAGGAGGTGAAAGAATGAGAGGAGAGTGATGGAGAAGGAATAAAAAATAGTTGAGTCAAGGAGCTGGAAAGGAAGATTTGCACACTGCCAGAGCAGCTTTGTGTAACGACTTCCTCTTCTTTTTTTTGTGTGGAAGAAGAACTTCTTTTGGAGCTGCCTGTAAGCGCACACTGAATGAAATAAAATCCTTGTGTTTGCGGGGAGGTTTGTTTAGCTCACTAGATTTCTGAGGAGAGGCAACGCCACCGCCAGTTTCCCCAGTAACCCCGCCGCTGGGATCTGCCCAGACCAGTGGGGAGGGATGGCAACACGCCACGCAGCACTGACAGCATGCTAATACAAAACAGCTTTAAAAAATACTCTGTTGGATAAGGGGGAAGAGATGTTAATAGCTTTTTGTCAGACTACATTATCACCCTTCCTCCCTAGTTCTGACTCAGCTGTAACAGGCAATACCTTGAAACCCTGAATTATGTCACAATAATACACACATTTAACCTACTTACGCCACATGTAAGTGTTCACGTGCATACGTAACTAAATCGTCTATCTTGAGCTTTAACACCGTCCGTGACGCAGAGTTCAGATACCAAATATTTTGCTTGGGTGAGACGACAGATTTATCAGTGTCAGATAAAGATAACTGAAGCCATTGGACTAAAGTTCCTCGTCTAGGCTTTTATCTTGTACAATGTGAGAAATGTCAAGCTACCTCATCTCCTTCTGTTCTTTTTATCAGTCTTTGAGTCAGGCTGTCTGCTCTGGGCTAGCAGCGGGGAGGAGACTGAGCTCAGTGGAGACTCCAAAATAGAGATTTAGCCAGCAGACCTGGACACATGCATACACAGCTGAGACGCTGGTTACTCACAGGAAGTTACAGAGATCGAAGCTGGGTTCAAGCTGAGGTGACACCTGACAAAATGTTGACCCCCAGCATGAGGGTCATTGCTGTGCAATTCAAAAGTTGACTCTGTTATGTGTACTTTCATCATGTATACAACAAAGTTAAGGATTATATCAGTGATGTTGCATGTTTTAGCCCATTTATTACAAATCAAATACAGTTTACATAAAAGCTTTACCTTGCATAGCAGCTGGATTCTTGTGATATCACGAGATCATGCGAGAATTGTGGGATTATGAGATCACAAAAAAATCCATTTTGTCAGGCTTCAAGTAATTAATTTGTGTCCGCACCACCAGTGGTTCTGACCAATCAGCATCCTGAGAGGAGCTACTAGCAGGCACAGACATGGTTTAGGTGTGTGTAACAACTAGGCCACCAGGAACATCACTAAAGCCTTGCTTTAATTTTTTTCTAGTGGCCACTCGTGGTATTGCAGCCAAAATATCCCCTTTGGCCCAAAAAGCATTTTTCCCCATAGACTACCATTAATAAAAGAAACATCTGTAAAACAGTTCACAGGACACCTAAAACTGCAAACAAGGTCAATTATGACTCTATTAGTCCCGCCTACTTGAGCTCACGGGTAGGACCTGTGGGAGAAACACCACTGCTCACATTCAGTGGACCACATACACTGCAAGTGGCATATGCAGCAGGCAAGCTAGCAGCTTCTCAGATGGTTCTTTGTTAAAAACAATCTGGTTTGTCAGCTTAACAAAAGTTAACAAACCATGACATTGTTTGACCAGAAATGAATAAGTAAATAAAATAGAATTTCTATACAGTGCAAAAATAAACTAGCAGGCTTTTAAAGCTTGCTTAAACAGTGTAACCTATCACATTAACTCTGCATTAATCTTTTTCTAAGTTGCATTACTGCTGCATGGTATTACAGTCTGATTGGAAAAGCGGGCCGCTTAAACAAAATAATGGAATTTATTGCAAACATTGCATTTGTGTACACAGTTTTCAATCCTCAAATTCAGTTTTCCCAGTTTAGTCGTTGAAGGAACTTAAATACGGGTTTTGGAACCATTTGAAGTACTTCTGCCTAAAAAAAAAATCACAACAAACCATGAGGCTCTTGGATGGTTAAACTGGCTCTGTGCCAGGCCCTTTAATCTGCTGGAGTAGAACCAAGAAACCCATGATGTTGGCTGCGGGTTAATGTCATCACCATGTAAACCTAACCTTGCTCCCAGGCAACAAGAGGCAATATGAGCAGTGAGGATAGTTTTGAAAAAAGTAAATGGGCTTCTGAATTAATTTGCAATTAGCTGACTCTACAGCAACTCTGTCTGAAATGAGAGAAATGCAGCACATTTTAGAGTTTGAAAGAAAAAGCTACAATAACTTGTTAAGAAAAGATGGTCCTCTACACCAACAGCATAAAAATATTATAAATACTAAAGCAACTACAAAAAAAAGACTACTCTAAGGGCCTTCTGTGACTATAGTATTAATAAAAGTGAGAAACTCTGACATGCTTGTCTGCAAGGTTCACTCAATTTTGAAATCTGCCTTACAAATAAAATGTATAAATCATTTGTCAAATACAATTTTCCAGTTAACTGTGATAGAAACTATGATAAGAAATTGAAATGTTTGCAGTTCAACTAGTGTACATTCCCTGATGGCATTAGCCCAATCATAAACATGCCAACAGAACATAATACTAATATTACTGTATTAGATTTACTCCTTAAAAAAAATCAAAAATTTAACTAAGTTTGTTTCCTTTCTCTTTGTTGTCTTGTAGGTCTTTGAGAGGATTAGTGAGGTAAACACAGGGTGACGTGCTGCGTGTTCTACATCTCTCTCATGCCAGCATGGTAAACAGGTGAGGCGTTACCTGAGTTGAGGTGTACGTGCAGGAAGTGCGTGAAATTTGGCACTTGCCCAAAGGTTAAATTATGTGCTTCCTGCCTCTCTCAATGAGTGCCCTTACTTTGGAAAAATCAATTCAGAGGAACAAAGTTGTTTTAGAAAAAAAATCTCTTATTTGAAAAAAATCTAACATATAAATGTTTTTGGGTTGTTTTTTTAAATTCAGTGACATCTAAGGAACTTCAGGAACTTTCCTGAGGTTTTAGGAACTGGAAAAATATTTCATGAAGAAGTTCAACCTTGGAGAAATATCTATAATGCACCATATTTGATGTTTCCTGCCATTTGTGTTTCCATTACTTTGCAATCTACATAAAGTCAAATAAGACTATTTTGATAACATGCAAAGAAATAACAGAATTCAGTGTCATAACCCTGGCTCGAGAGGTTATGGCAAAGAAGGGAACAGGCAAACTTACCCTCTACCTCCTCCTCGTCACAGATGTGCTTGAGTAAGGACGCCCCCCGGTCTAGCACCGCCTCATCCTCCATCCTGTAGTAGTAAAAGAGGAAGAAAGACTGCTCACACCTCTCCTCCAAAGACAACGTGGAGCCATAGCGCTTCGGCTCGTTCACCTGTAATAGGTTCGGACTGGGGCTCAGTCTGGTGCTGCTGGTAGCGCTCATCTCCACCCATTAAAGACTCATTGACAGAGACGCTATGTGGCTACCTCAGAGCTCTGAGATAGCGCCTTAAAATCTGCTTTTCAGTGAGTAAACTACCCTCAGGTGTGAGAATGTGTGTCGTCCTTGAGCGGGGCCAAGTGCGTAGTCAATAGGTACGATGTAATGGACTTAATCTGGCAGAGGCGGGTGAGGGAGAGGGCAGGAAGTCTCTGCTAACTGAGTGTGATAGCCAGAGTGACTGGTGCTGATCATGCGCGATAAAATCCAGACTGACTGAGACTTGAACCCACCGAGATCTGGGTCTGTCTCTGTCGACACTTCACCTGTTAGACACTCAATCAAGGTGTTGTGTTTGATTACTGGGGGGAAAAAAAACATTTGAAATAGTATCAGTTAGTGTTGTCTAATCAGTCACACGCCTACACACACTACAAAGCCTCTCCATCTGGTCGGTAAAGCCTGCCAGCCCCCCTCTCCACCACCCTCCACCTAAGAAACAAGTGGGGCATCACATGTCTGTCTACTCATCCGCCCTTACAGGATTACGCCGGCTTTACTTAAGTGACAACACACACTGAAGCCCGTTACAGGTCGGCGTGTCAGAGCCTCCGCTGCGCTTCAAGACAACTCAACACACGTTCATTCTCTCCTCAAACAAACCGTACTGTTTCCCAACAAACAAAAAAATGTTTAATTCAGGCTGGCTCTGAATGGAAGTTTTGTTTGTTTTTGTGGTGGGGGCGATAGAGTATGTATTCTCAGTCACTCAGTGGCTACCATAATAACAGAAAAAGGAAACCACTGCAGTCTTTCACCAAAACAGCTCATTTACATATTTAACTTTGTCAGTCCACTGCCAATCAAAGCATAAAAACAGACCCCACCCAACACTCATTCACCAAAACACACAAATACACGTGCCATGTTGCAAGTAATACCGGAAATACTTAAGCCCTGGGTTTATCCTAATGGGATCACAGATAAATTGGTTTGTTTTCTGAAACAATCACATTCTTATTGTTTTGTCACAGATAAGTTAAAGGGTTAATAATTATCTTTAAATAAAAATAAATAAATAAATAAAATCTACAGTAATTTTGAGTCAGATTTGGCCACAGAAATTTAGATCTTGTTTGATAATATCATTAATTATTATTATTATTATTTATATTAGTAGAAGTAGTTGTAGTAAAAGATTAATATTGTGAGAGTTGTTTGCCCATTCACATACCAATATTCCTTTATTGATTTATGAGGCTATAATTTAATATTACAGCGCAGTGTCTGGTAATCCCTTGAATTGAGGAGATGTACATTTGATGTGATAATGTCATTAATACCATCAGCATTATAAGGAGCTCTTTAATGAGATGGTGGACGAATATTTGGTGGTGGCTCCTTGTGTGAGCAGTTCATTTAGACTATTGTTTTGTTTTGTGTTTGTTGTATTCTTCATGCCAATGGTGGATGGGCCAATAGGCATGACACCAAAATTTAAAACAAATTAATGAACGAACAAATGATGTTCTCCAACTCAACTTAGTCCATTCTAGGTCAAAGTGGACTGCACAGCATGGGCTAAGTAAAATGGCAAGGGGAAACCCTGGACACAGAGGTCTCAGAGGTCAAAAGGTCAGCTGCACAACAGTATTCCTCCAGATGGTCAGGATTCAATGTGCTGCTCATGAGAAGACATTCTCTGCTCACTGCATCGTGCCCCATAATCTTCATGTCACACATACTAATAGATTCAATTCATCAGTCTTGTTTTGAAAGGTTGCAAAGACAGAATAGGAGGTTAAGTACATTTTTTGTAAGTACATACAAAAAATAACACTGGAACACTTCCTGTGTTAAGTTGTAGGAGCTTATTAACTCACAAGCTACAATTATTCTAGAAATAAAGCCGCTTTTATTTCATTTTCACAACCCACTGACACTACCAGTATGTTTCTGTGCTTTATCAGTGTGACTGACAGTAATTTTATCCTTAACTAACATTGCTTACTTTAAAGTCTTTCATAAAAAGGTTTTTAAAAAAGGTAAACTGATATCAAAATGCCACCTTTAGCTTCTGGAGAAAGTGTTGGTTCCTACTAAAACATGCATTTTTCTAAAGCTGGATCAATTTAATAATATTACCTAAAACTCAGATACAGTACCTGTAACATAAATAATTTCCCCTCGGGGATCAATAAAGTATTTCTGATTCTGATTCTGATTCAGTAGGCTGATTGATCACTCAGAAGCATCTCAACAAGAAACCAGCTTATCAAGCTTTAACAATAATGTGTACCTCTGTCTGCTCTGGGTCAATCTGTAAAGAGTTTTAAAACAACACCATGATCCGGCCACTATTAAAAAGGGGAGCTGTTTTATTCCTGGACTTCACCAGCTTTCCTACTAACACTGGCCTTCCTACTTCCTCCATTGCCACCTATGGAACAATCATGGAAATAACAGGCCAAGCTCCATACTGCATGAGCCTGCCGCCTACACACATTTGCACCCAAGTTAGATTTCTACACTGAACTTACAATGTTGTCAGAGTAGGAGAGGATTAGAACACATTATGTTTTAGTGAACTTAATTAGCAATAAAAAAGGCTAATGCTTTGGATATGATGTGAGACTAAAATCATTAATCCACTTTCATGGCTGCATATTGACAGAGTGTGATGTTATGTGCACTCAAGGAGTAATTCTGTGATTTTGAAAATAAAATTGTACTTATTTCTTATTTACCTTGACTCTTTTGCCCTGTTGTCTGTTTTCCCAGAATGCTTTTCAACCCTTAATCAAAACACTGCACAGCAGACAATTTATAACATATCTTTTCCAACTCGCTTCTATCAACAGATTGCCAAGTTTCCTTTTACAGAGTAGTACCTTTTACAGAACTCCTCATTTTTCCAACAACAAAACAAAGTTGGCAGAGTTCTTTGTGGTTCTGTAATGCTACCAACATGATTAACTTTGGCTTTAAAGATTATATCAGTATCAACAAAGAAAATATCACTTGGAGACAAAAACTCTTTGCATAATTTTAAATTGCATATGAAATACAAGCTACCATGAGTGAATGAATGATTGATTATTCAACCACATTTTAATACAACAGCAGCAGTTTAAGCAGTAGAACTACAAACTAATGATGGTGTAAAATCTTTGGATGCTTGTGTACACTGTAGACTGCTGTCATTGGTTTGTACCTTGCAGAAAAAGGATTAATTCAGAAATATATTATGCTACACAACACAAAGTAAAACACAAAGGTGTTCATTTAAATCTTTCATTCTTCACTAAAATCAAAAGGCCTCTGATGTGGACTAACTTTTATTTTCTATTTTTCTTACAACTTCTTCATTACCTTAATGTACTTCTATCTATAATCAGGCAAATGTGTGTTTTGCGTTAAGTGACACTGACTACAATATTGGCTATAATATATTACATGTTTAGGATTTGATGCCAAAGTTCAGGACTAACTTGTGGGGTTACAAGTCCTTATACTGTCAATTCCAGGGTTGGAATTGGTAGTATTTACTTGGGATTTGTTGTGATTTAGAGACATTTTTGGTCTCAGCTGTGCCTTTTATGTTTTAGATCACTGAAACAGTTTCCACTATCAAGATCCCGTAAAGCTGGACGGGAAATATCTCAACCTTATTACAAGCTGTGCAAGCAATCAAAACTTGTCAAGCTGTTACTTTGCACTCTTGATTGTATATTAGCTGCTATCTGTCTTTCGCTTGACAGATAACGTATCATTCTCCCTGTCCTTGTAGGGCCTACAGTAATCTGCATGTAGCCTACATTCACTATCTGTTTAGAGAGGTGAGTGTGTTCTCTGTACCCAAGCTGATGCAAGTGTCGACAGGGTGTCCAAACCATGGAAACATCAAACAGCCTTAAGGCATCCAGATTGTGTTATTATGGTGTACAGTATTTATTGCAGTCATTGCATGAGATATGAGTAAATGTGTCCCGGTCATGTAGCTGGTGACCTGTTCTCCAGTCAAGTTTTGAAAAGTCAAATCCCTCATGCGATGAAGGCAGAATGTCATCAGATATCAGATTCCCCTGAACCTCAAAAGAGTTTCTCTACACAATAAATGAATACCTACAGTTTTAGTTAACTGATAGCTACACAGGATTTTCAACTGACAGCAGTTTTTTATTTTACTGCAAACAAGGTTTAAATTCAAAACTTTATTTCTTGGTACTTTCTGTACTTTCTGCATCATTAGTTCCCACTGCTTACTCTGTGATTAAGGGGGGAAACAAAATGCAGGGCTGAACTGGGATTTAACATCCTGGAATTGTGCCTCCAATATCATAATAACACATAGCTTTTTGAAAAAAATTACTCAATAATTTTCTATGGCTGTTTTCACCGATTTTAACTGAATTATAATGTTTGCTTTTTTCCCTTTTTGCATCACTTTACTTGAGGACATCAGCATTATTAGGGGAACAATAGATTTTCAGAATTTATAACAGGATCTTGTATCTCAAAATAAGAAAAATTAGTTGAGACTACACAGGATCCAAATAATTGAATGATTCAAACTCTTGTTGGCGAATTTCTTTATGCATCAGCATAGGCAAATTTCTGGTGATAGCTTTCTGACAGCAACCAGACTAACGCAAGTGACAATGTGTCACCTGTGCCACTAACCACAATCAACTTAAAAAAATCTATTAACCAGTTTGGTAGTAGTCCACTTTAAAGGATGCATAGATAAACCAACAATGTCCGTTTTCCTGTCAGTCTTATAACCATAAGCTGTGATTACAAAGGTGGTGTCTTTTGTTTACACTATCTGAGGTATGCCTCCAAGGCTGGAATCCTTGCAAAGCAATTACACAGCAGTTCATGTCTAGACGCTTAAACTTTAACATGTTCAAACTTTAAATGACCTTTCAGGGAACTGTCAACACCCAGCTCTGTCGTATGCATATACAGAAGACGTTCCTCAGGTAAGTGGTACATTTAAATAAGATATGATTTACTTTTAAGTTAACTTGAAATACAGCAAAGTCAGCTAGAGCCAACATACTGAAATCAGTATCTGAGACCATTTCACCTTCTTGGCAATCAGAGCCTGTTGTAACATGTCAGCCTCATTACCAAACCACTTGTTCCTCAAGTGAACCTGACCTCTAAGCATTCATTCCTCCTTATTTAAAGTACCAGTATCTGTTTGCAATCACTTGTTCCTCAAGTGAACCTGACCTCTAAGCATTCATTCCTCCTTATTTAAAGTACCAGTATCTGTTTGCGGGCTCTTCTACACGTCTTATTCAATTTATGTAAGGTCAAGTATCGGTGCGTGGAGTGAAAAGCACTCCTTTAAAGCTCGTTGAAGTCACTTACTTCTTGCCGCTGCTCATCTCTTCAGGTTGCGTGTGATAAATCTCCTTACTGAATGTGCTGAGCAGAGCGGATCACCAGAGCGGCTGCTGATGCTTGACCTGACAAAGTAACAAATAGAGAAGAGGTCATTTTTCTGCTTTCTGTGAATTCAATGCACATTCACAAGATCTTTTGCACCCCAAATGCTTTACTGAAAATTAAGTGTTTTGGGCTACAATAACACCATGAAAAAAATCTTAAGGATATTATACTACACAGGTGTAACAGTAAGACTTAATATGGGTCTGTTGTTGGTCCAACATTAATAACTGATTTTATTCAAAAACACAATACAGCAAAATATGATCACAGCAGTGCCACAGGTACACTTAAAAAAGGAGAAATACAACCAACATCATGCTGACACTTTCTTTGTGCACCTTGAAGGAACTGTAGTAATCCTGTGATAAATTTCAGTACACTTTGCAGAGCAACAGCAGACTTTATAACATGATGCAGTTGCTTTGGTTCCTACTAATGAACAGCAAAGGAAGTTCAGCCTTATAAATCATGCTAACTAGCCAAACGAAGCGCTTAACATAAACAAAACACCCTCCCACTGCGCATTTACGCACAAGCCCCCCTTTAATCGCGTGATAAATTGTTCCAATTAACTTTAGACAACGGAGACACCATAACTCGAAATATATTAAAAAGTGACATAAAGCACGATAAAGCCGTTCAATCCCTGAGGGCACCGGTGACACGCTGCAGGCATATTATGGTGATTTATGCTTGAGACGCCTCTTCACACATGCACTGGCCTGAGGAAATTCAGTTGTCAACAACTTCGAGGTGAAACAAAAGTGACTGACTTACCGCTGTAGTTCTGATCTTTGGCTCTATATGTTTGGCTCCTGTTTTCACCCTTGCGGTGGCATGAAGGTAAAGATGTCTACTTCCACAGCTCGGGTAAGTTTGTATGTGGCATTGTGCGGCGACTGCGCTGAGCATGCTGCCGCCTCTATCTGCTGGACCATCCTTCTGTCAACGCCACTCCTCCGGTGGGAGGTCAAACTGCCCCACGGCTGCACCACCATCACTCTATCAGATCAACCCCCACCACGGCACAATTGGACCAAGTCATTGCACAGTTATGCCAGGCAGGGTCAGTGCCTAAACACACAGTTAACATGAAGTCAGCAATCTGTGGAAGTTATTGAAAACATAAACAATACTAAAACATCTGTAGTTTTGTAAAATGAAAATCAATCACACAAAAATAGCAGGTTGATAAAAATAATACAAGAACATACATACAACAATAAGGCGTCTTAAATTTAAAAAAAAAAACAACTAATACCTGATAAATGTTTCTTTAAATATCACTGATTTTTCTTGTTTATCTATTATGTTGGTACTTGCACCTGTAAAAACTTACCTTTATATATTTTGGCCATAAAGCTATCTGTCACACAGATAATTTGATGTTTTTAATTCAAATTGTTCAGATAAATCCCTTTAATATTCCTAAACTCGCATAGTTCCTCAAAAACCCTCTACAATGAGTTACAGGATTACTACAGTATCTTTTTATGAGACACTTGATGGGACTGTTTATTTATTTTAGCTGTGCATTACGTATTTTGGATCTACAGCGCCATCTGTTGGATGCAACAAGGCACGATTAGCTGGCATTGCCTGCATACCTTAAATTAAACATCCAATAGTGATCATTTATATGTATAAACTTAACAGGTGCAACAGTAATCAGATGAAAATATGATTACTCAGTTTGTGTCCAAAACAAAGCTGTGTCATTACTCAAGAAAGACTGAGAAATTACTTTATGTATCAGTTTTGCTTTCACTAAACCCAGCATCAGATCATTAATACCTCAAAGATCATCAATATTCAAAGACTAGAACTCAATGATCTATTGAGATAATTTCACACCAAAAATATTTAAATGCTTAGAAGCAAAGCTATGAGACTTGTCCATGCTCCTCCCTATTGTTTTCTTTACAGGATTACACATGGTTTGGGGATTTCTTCAGTTCAAGCCTCAAATTATCCCCAAGCTTTCTGACTTTCTATTAGTAGGATTTGGGAGATTTTCATACAGAGCTTCTGTGGCTCCATTCATTTATTACAACTAAAAATAGAAAAAAATTTGGGCAACTTGTGACTGGACAAATAAATTAAATGCACCCCTGGCCCTTTCTATTTGTTATTAAGTTTTTATCCCTCCCAAATGTTGGAAAATAAACTCATACTAAAGCTACAAACTTACTTTCAAGAACTAAGAAAACTGACCATGTCTTTAGCTCCACCATGACCCTTTGAGATTAGTTATCCGTAACAGGTTAAAAATGGCCAAGACCACTAACTAACTTATGTATTTTAGGTGAATTAACCTATTGCAAAACAGGAACATCCACAAGAAGACAGTTACCATGTTTTCAACATATGTATTATTAGACATTATGAGAAGAAAGAGGGTTAGATGTTTACTTTTCTTGGAAAGTGAAAAAAAAGACATTACCCGGCTGAACTTCTCTTTCACTTGCCAGTTTCAGCATAATGACTCAGCATCAGTTAGCTAGCATACCATAGCTAACATAGGTCAATGTTTTGCTTAGCTTAACACAGCTGTTAAAAAATACTGTACCTGTTATGCTCCACAAGTTTAGGGGCAATCCTTTTAATAAAGTAGCTAATGTTATTAAGAATATAGCATTAGCCCTGTTTATACGTTGTTAATGATGCCGCGCACACAAATATAACATTATCTGCTAAAGTTATGTTAGCAATGTTAATGTTATAACTTAGCTAACTAACCTAAGCTAGCTAGCTAGTGTAAAGTATGCTAGGACATCCTTCGGCACAAAAATAATTCTAGCGTCTATCTCGATATCATTGACCAACTGTTGTGAAATATAATAACGTAAGCTAATGTTGGCTATGTTTTAAGTGATAATATTTATCAGAATATATTGTCGGAAAGCCGCACTTTTGTAGCATCTGTGCCGCGCTTCATTTCAAACAACTGTAATGGTTCGCGCATGCGTACTTCAATATAGGTGTGGCAGTGCTGCATTAAATTTAAATGGCTGTACCCGTTCGCGCATGCGTACCTCAGTAAAGGTGTGGCGGACTATTACGCATGTCGCTTCCGTGTTTCAGCTCTCAGACAGCTGTCTGTCATCCGGCGGCAACACCTTCATGGAAGCAGGCAACAATGAAATAACACCCTGATCAATAAGTAAAATGTAAGGTGACATCTTTACACTGTGTTACTGGCAAAAGAACTGAAAGTTGACAGACAGGCAGCCCTGATGGCTAAATGCTTGCTACGCAGGCTACAAATCCAGGAGATACAGAGCAACAGTAGTATCCCATTGGTTATTTTTCTGTCACCTAGTGGTAGAATGTATTAGGCTACATTTACTTAGTTCTGTGAAAAATTGTAATGCTTGAGTACTTGCACTTGTTTTTAACTTAAATATGTTCTTCTCATGCCACCTTTTACTTCCACTCCATTTTTGAGGTAAATACTGTAGGCCCAGAGTGAAATCAGGTAACTTTTTGGTAGATTACAAAGGAAAACACCCAAGATTCTGAAAACTACCTTGAGTTTTACCTTTACAACTTGTTATGGATCTCTGTTGTATTTCTATAAAGAAAATGTTACCCTACTTTAGAAACTTTGGACCTGGAAACACATAAGAACCCCTACATCACTCCAATGACATGTTCAGGTAAAATGGAACAGCTGGAAAGGTAAAATGGGACAGTCACATTTGTTTGTATTTTGTATTTTATGGTTAAATCCATGTGTCAGTTCAGTCGCTATATAATTAAATTATTGATCTAACCAAACTACTTATTTAAAAATATCAACCAACTTTTCTGCCTGGGCGTGCGTGTAACCATAATGGCTAATTCTGGCCTATTATGGCTGACATGGACTCACTGCATCATCTTTAAAGCAACAAAAATATGATGTGACAGGGAGCCACACAATAGCATAATATCTCATGATGTTATGGCACCTGGTAGCCTAAAAACTGCTGATTTTACTTTACAAAACTTTCCCATTTTAGCTTAATTTCTATTGTCCCATTATACCTGAATGCCATATATATACCATTTTTATTGTTATCCCCTTACTGTTACAGCGGATAGGGCTCTGTGTAATTGTGACAGCATTTCTCTTTATTTTCAGATTTTTTTAATAAATAAAATAACCAAGCAATCAATCAATTAGGCATAATTAAGAAAATAATAAGCAGATGAAAATAATCATTAGCTGTAGTCAGTCCCATACAGAATAGTCAAAATCTTGCTTTTATATTACGTAGTAATAATAATAAGATTAAACAGTCAAGGGGGGGCTTTTTTGTGCTTTGAGCACTATTAATACTTGTAGTGCATGTTCCTAATCATACTTACATATTTTTACTTAATAATATTAATATTTTGATATAAAATTTTCAGTGCAGGACTTAAAAATGTTACCTTTTCCTCATTAAAGGATCTAAATATCCATCACTGCTGCCTCCTGAAACGTGCCAAGTCCAGTAATCACTAAGTTTTCAGCCATGGTTTGGTCTCCACCAGCTCCCAAGACATTTCTTTAGTCACTAACTCTGGCTCTGATAAACCCATTGAACCCGGGTTAATGGCTTTATTAGAGCTTGTTTGCTGAAAACAGCTTCATGCTGACAGCGGTGAGAGTGAATGTACAGTAAATGAGCCATAATACAAGTTAGCTAAAAGAGGCCAAGTGGATCCATAGAGTTTCAGAAGGGCGTTTACTATCTTTGGTTTTGTTACTATAAACAACGTCCTCTGCATTACCCCTTGTCATTGGATCTTTTATTTATTATCTTTTATTATTATTATTTATTTTAAAAGAAATTTTAGATTGTTGGTAATATGGATGAAATCAGCTGTATCAATGATAACATGGTCAAATAGACTAATTGGTTTTACATGTCTTAAATTTTTTATTTGTTTGTTTGTTGCACTGAGCTGCGATTTGACTTTTTTTGTGATTTTTGCATACTTTTCCATCTTGATTTTGAATAATTTTTTACAGTTTGATATTGGTTTCAGTTTCACCATTTAATTCAGGTTTTTATTGTCTGTTTTTCCTCTCAACTGGGGATTCCTGACAGCTCTTTAGACGTCTTAACTCTCCTCACTAACCTTGGTTGCTGTGTAACATTTTATTGTAACGCTGCGCTGATTTCACGTTTCTTAAACTTAGACTGGACTGTACTCAGTAACCAGACATGTAACTCAGGAAAAATGGGTTTAAACATTACTTGCTCATTTCAGGTGTCATCTACAGTAAGACACATACAGTAAGATACCTGATACCTTTTGGAAAGTAGGAGCTATTGCCAAAACATGACCATGAGAGAGACTTCTGGCTGTCACGTGAATTTGTTATCTGAGTGACATAATCTGTTATCAGACTGACTTGATATCTGGTTTAATTTTGTAAAATGTCCTGTGTGTCAAAAGTATTTTAAACATACACTTTAAAAGAGATTTTGTCATATGAAAACATTTACTACCAGAGGACTTTTATTTTGATTAAAAAAAGAAATAATAATGCAGAAAAGGCACAATTTGGTGCAAAAAAAATCACCAGAATTCAGGAGATTAAGTCTTTGACACTCAAGATTTTCTGTCAGAAGACCCCCAAATTCCTGCTTTATATATGTACCCCCAGTGTTGAAACAAAATGTACACCCTTGGATGTAAGACTAACTAAAGATATATAATTGGACGAATGAGATGAAGCTTTTATTTTCTATTAATAATGTTTATTTTTTAATATTAATGTTATATTAACACAGGATCGCAAATTAATTGTGAGTATCGGGATATTTGGATAAATCTTTCTGTGTTTTCAAGATATAAAGATGCATAATAAAAGACAACAAGTATTTTACTACCATAGTTATCAGTTATGTTAAGCAGTTTTGGGCATAAGTCAAAGAATACTACACT